CCCCTCCCCTCCTCTCCTCTCCTCTCCTCTCCTCTCCTCTCCTCTCCTCACTAAACAGAAAGGCATGCTTCCTAAAGGGCTGTATTTTATAGCCTGTCAGCTTCTCATTTACAATTAAAATAATTTTTTTAAAAAAGTCAAATGCAAGTACCAAGGAAGGTGTTTGGATGCAGATTGGCATGCATGGGCATTTACAGAGCAAAACTGAAACCAGATTAAGTCATCTGTAGTCTCATCAGCAACCCTGGTACTGGATCCAAGAAAAAATTTGTACCTGGAATGCTTAAGTTATTTTTTTAAAATGTGTGTAATAATTGAAGCTATTATTTTAAGCTGGGATTCCAGTTTTGTGGAAATCTGTCTTATCCTGCTAGAAATCCTGTCCTGGATCCTAAGATAAATTAATATAAGAAAGAAAGGTTTCCCATTTCTTTCTCCCCTTTTGCACCTACCTGCAAAGCTTGTTGAGAGATTTGAATAGTTTTCCTGAGCAAGGCAGGATGAGCTTTGGAAGGCCAGTGGAGGGGAGAAAATTGCCCCCAAACTGACCCTTGAAATGCCTTTAAAAGCTATGGGTGGCTGTTGTTGGGAGAAGGGGATAAGAAACTTGCTTTTCATTAATTTCCTTAAGAGCTGAGCCACTTTGGAAGGGATCCACATATTGCCCTAAAATAGGTTGTTCATTCTTTCTTACATAGGAATTATTGAAGCTGTAGCCAGAGACTTCTTTGATTGTGAAGTGTCCCTGGAAATTCTTGAACAAAATGTAGAAGAAGAGCGAACTGGGAAGAAGGAGCACGTGGTGTTTATTATTTTACAGACAAATGAAACAGTGAAGCACAACATCAAAGAGCAAACCATTTCTGTATGTGGAGATGGGTCTCAGAAGGACAAAGAGGTGATATTTCATTCTGTAGAAAGAGCAGAGGAGCTGATACAGAGGAGAGGAAATAGGGAGATCTCTAAACTATGGGCTATGCTCACATGTCATACAAAGCCACATTTAGAGATGACTTAATATGACATTTTCTTTTCAGCAACAGGATGTGGTTTTTCAAAAAGGAAGGGAAAAAACTGCTGAACAGGAGATCTACTGTGATGTTTTGAGACATGCAGTCGACTCTAGGGCAGGTAAGTTAATTTAGGCATGATGGATGAAATATGGATCTCAAGAATATAAACAAAAGTCTGTGAGTTTGCTGAATACATGCAGCATTATAGAAAGTGATCAGATGAGATGATGTGGCTGATTAACAGGACAAGAGTAGATGTATAGCTTTCAGTAGAGTACATCCTCAGTTTTACCTATACTGTATATAATTACTTGATTTGGTCTACTTAACAACAAAGGTCTCCATACAATTCACACTGGTAAAAGGTTGAGTTTTTATGTCATACAAAGGACTACCCAGTCTGGCAGAGCACACTTATCAAATCTGTCATATGATTTTAAATACTTAGGAATCTGGATACTTAGGAATACCACCCTTCATTTAAAAAAAAACAAAAACCCTCTGTTATTACATTTCTAAACATGTCCAAAATCACACAGAGTGTTTCTGCAGAAAACTCAGTTGTTTCAAGGTCAAGCTCCAATTCAGATAGACTTGCTCTGTCTTCCTCCATGTAACTAAAATAATAATGATCAAAGTACAGAATAGCTACAGCTTCAGAGAGGCTACCTTTGCCTTCAAAACAATCATGGGAATGGCCCATGCCAGTCTATTTCAAGTGAAAATTATCAAATTTGGAGTGATAATTAAAAATTCTGTTTGAATGGCAGAGAAAAATACTACTTCCAAGAATTAACCCTGCATGTGACAGGGAGCACCATTGGCACTCTATCTTGGAAACAAGCATCACACTAACCTCAATACAGCTCTTTGAAAAGATGATGGTATTACTTCACTCGATCGCTGAAGAGAGAGAGAAACCGATCTAAAGTGGAGACTAATCCAGGCATTTTCTGCTAGACCTTCCCAAACTGCTGTCTTCTGTTAGTCATGCTGGCAGGGGGTTGGTGGGAGAAGCCAGCTGTATCTTGCTGACATTTTACACAGTCCAGAAAAGATCTGTCTCTATTCCACAGGGAACCTTTTACATACCTTTGAACCGCTGTTCCCTAAGAGGCTTTGGCTTGACGAGAAAACCTTCTGCCACGCATTTCCTTTCCACCTTGTGTTTGACGAAACCGTAAGGAAGCTTTGGAGGGATTCTTTGTACTTAAATGTTCAGCCTGAGGTGGGGCTTGGGTGGGCACGCTGAGACAGTTTTATTGGATCTGCACTTGCTGCAACAGTAAATAAATCATTAAAAGGAATAAATGCATGTAAAGGTTAAGGCAGGGCTGGGCAATCGTGCAGCTGAGGATTAGGCTTTGAAAAACTATTGGCATGGCCTGCAAGGGTGTGACAGTGATATGGAGATGTCCCCAGAGGCAGCATTTGGGGGCAAGGTTTTTTTTTTTTTTAATAAAAACATAAAATAGCAGCTAGAGGCTTAATGCATCGCTTTGCTTATCACTTTCATCAGAAAAGTGAGAACTCATAGTTACTTTTCAGTGGAATGCTAGTGATGTTCAGCATTATGGGAGAGCTTACAACCATTAAAAAGGGGGGTGGGATTGTGTGCAGTGGAAAGCTATTGATTGCTGTGTGGGCCCCAATGCCTCAGCCCAATCTTACTGTTATATGGAACATGTTTTTTTTAAGTGACTCCACTTTAATTTTGAGTAATGTTTTGTGACGTGTTGCTTCTGAAGAGTGTTTGAAAAGTCGTTAGTTATCGACGTTACCTTTTGGTTCTGTCCTCAGCTGAAGATCAAACAGGCAGGTGTAAACATTCAGAAATTTGTACCAAGATTGCAAATAAGTGGAACCAGATTAGATGAATATTTTTCTATTATTCATCCACAAGTCACATTCACTATTTCCAGCATGAAAAAGTTTATCAATAGCCAGTTTGTTCTCAAGATTCGGAGAGAAATTATGCCCAAGTCATTGAAGAAACGGCCTGTGCTGAAGCTCAGAGGTACAAACTTTCTGTAGACTTTCGAAATTTAAGAAAAATAAAGTTCTTAAAAGAAAAATAGGAGGAGGAATAAAATTACCATAATGCATTATCTAGTAGAGTCAGGTAGCACAGTAGTGGATTATATTAGCTCCTTGGTGGTAGCAAAGAACTACTTACCTATCATGCTATTTTCTTTTGGGACAATCAATGTTATGCTGAGGGCAGAAAAGGAATAAGAAATAATTAAGAAATGAAAGGCACTGGATTAGGAAAGAGAAGGAATCATGGCTGAAAGTAGTTTATACCATTCACGTTCACTGTAACTCCCCATATCTTTCTATATTTATAAACCAAACTGACTTTCACCATGTCCATACACTTTCATACATTGCCTTTTGTTCTTGAAACAACTCACTTTTTTTGAAGATCTCATCAACTCCATGCAATCATGACCTTTCTCAGACTTTCCTTTCCTCTTGACCCATTCACCCTTCTCTCACAGATATATTTTACAGTTTTATTTTTTCTATACGAACAAACCACCTCAGCATACTTCTTTCATACTGATCTGTATCCAATTCACATTCATTCAGCACCTACTTATTCTTGACCCTGTCTCCACTTTTTTTACATATAAAGTTCTTAATAATCCTTGTGGGTAGAACTTGCAAAAAAAAAAAAAAGACGATTTCATTTTCCAGTGAAATTGGGAGGGAATAATGCTGCCATGATTCAGATGTTTGCCACCAAATTCTTATAGCACAATTTAGGGGAGTCTTGGAGTTGCAAAAGGGGGAAAGGCTTGAAGACCACATTAACTTATAAGCAGATTGCCCATCTTAATGTTCTTGTAATGTGTGAACCTGATCAGTCTGTTGCCCTTAAATCTTTCAAGACCTTAGACAGGAATGAAAGATTCTACATCCTAAATTCTAAACCCAAAATGTAAGAGGCTATTGAAGTATTTGCAAAACCTGTGAAATCTAGACATATTAAGCACAGATAATCTATAATCTTCATTCAGGTTACTGACAGTTTTCCACATAAGATTCAGATAACTCCTAGGTTAAGCCTAATGGATAACCTTGTACAATGTGTTTCTTGGGAAAAGGACAAATGATCTGGATGGATTGCATCCACTGCATGATCTACTTGTGCTCACCAAAGCTCCGGAGTTTAGATGAGTTAGAAGAGCAAGAGATGCACCTTTCTGACATCGCCCAGCATGACCCAACAAGAGACCTCATCCTCTTCAACCAGCAGCGGCTGGCAGAGATAGAGCTATCCAACCAACTTGAGAAAAAAAAGGAAGAGCTCAGGATTCTTTCTAAAAACCTAGAGATAGAAAAGAAGAAATCAGAAGCTTTACTCTATGCTATGTTACCAAAACATGTGGCTAATCAGCTGAAGGAAGGCAAGAAGGTGGAAGCAGGTATGGCAGTTTTATTGTCTTTAGAAACTGGCATGCAGTAAAACAGGAAGGGTAAGGACTTCAGTTGATCACCTGGAAACACCATCTTCTAAGCTAAGATTCTATGGGTTTGGACTTGGTTTGCATAGAGATCTGATTTCCTGGGAACCAAGTCCAAGCAGGACATATAGGTATTTTACACAATGTTAACTTTTCACGTAAGTACAAAACTAAACTAGGTGCAGTCTCCATAATTTCCACAAAAATGATAATGGCCATTGGTTTGACAGGTGCCTTGCTACTTCAAAAGGGTGGACATACAAATATCACTTTTTCAAAATCATTCTGTTGCTTTCTGATTTGCATGTTATTACTTATATTTTTAGGCCAATTGTGTTTCTAAACTTTGCTGAGAGTTGTAAACTAGATTTTAGAAGGGTAAAGGAGGCTTTCAGTCTCAAGGTGTGTTCTGAGATGACCCAAGAATTTGTTCTTTGCCAATCAATTTATTTCAATAAAGCCTAACATCTAAACCGCTGGACTCCATCCATCTATATACACATCTTAATATGCTGATGAAGCGAGAGGTTACATATGCTGTGATTTGTTTTCCAACTTTTACTCTAGAAGGATTGAGGCAAGTGGCAATAATAGTTAAAGGTAATTTTCCATTGACTGTTTTTGGTCGTTTTGCTTGAGTACTTTATCCTTGCCATATTAAAAACCAAACACAGAAAAACTGTAGCTTCTTAAAATTGGCTATTCTTTTTTAATTTATTCCTCAGGAGATTTTAGTTGCTGCACAATACTTTTCAGTGACGTAGTGACTTTCACAACCATCTGTTCTGTCTGCGAACCTATTCAGATTGTGAACATGCTTAATTCAATGTATTCCAAGTTTGATCGACTAACTAGCATCCATGGAGTTTATAAAGTAAGTGTGGCTGATGTTTATAAACATTTGTTGCCATTTTCCTCACATATCTGACCTTTGCAGCCAAAGGGGGTATGGTAAATGGATGATTTTAGATGGCAGCAAGAAGGGAGAACAAATCCTGAAAACATTTCACTTCCTACACCAACCCTTTCTAGACTAACCGTTGCTTAGTATAATTTAGCCATTTTCTGGCTTGCAACCATTCCTTCCCTTTTTTCCTTCCTGCAAAGAGCTTGGCCTGCTCTCCCAACCATCCCCGACCTGGTACCCACCCCAGCACAAAACATTTGGACTGGAACTCCCAGAATTCCCAGCAATTGGCCATACAGACTATTCAACCAGACCTTTTTAATTTGAATTAGACTAGCTGATTTTTACAATTCTGAGCAACAGTTTCTTTAACGTTATTGCAATCGCATGTGTCTGGAGAGTGTCAGGTTGGGAAAGACAGGGATTGCGACACAGCATATAATGTTGTATTTGTATTAATTAGCCAGGGCAATCTAATGTCTTCACCACTGTTTGGTTAGCTGTAATTGAGGTACACCTTTGTAGCTGCATCAGTCAGCATTTTGGCACTTAGTTCAGAGATTCAAATCCTTTCTCATATTTTTAATGTACCTGAGTTTTTATAGTCAACTTTTCATCAACAATATACTGAGCACTAACTGTACAATCTCAGTAATTCTTTTGTTCACTTACTGAATATTATATTTCTGCATCAATTTTTCCTTTTTCTTTTCTTCTTTCGCTTGTTCATTTGTCCTTTTTTCTTTCTTCTTTTAAACATTATTAATAAATAAATGATTTTTTTTAAAAAGAAAGCATTGCAGTAGCTGATTCCTCAAGTGAAATAGAAGAAAGAGGAGAGGAAGGAGGTATGATTGCTATGTTCGTTTACTGTCCTCCAGAAGTTTTGAACTTTAGTTCCCATTAGCTCCAACCAGCAAGGGACTGTAAGAGTCACAATCCAAAACATCTGGAAGGCATCAGCATGCAAGCCCAGATGTACGGTCGGTGGGTTTCCACACCTACATCACTATGCATCTTGCCTTATAGGTGGAAACCATTGGTGATGCCTACATGGTTGTAGGAGGAGTCCCAGTGCCCGTGCCCAGTCACGCTGAAAGGGTGGCTAATTTTGCCCTTGGCATGAGAATTGCTGCAGGAGAAGTTATGAACCCTATTACCACTAGACCTATACAGGTAATTCATGGTTTTAAGACTTAAAAACAAGAATGAGATCAAGCCATCTCGCTTGCACTAGAGGGAGAGAGAGAGAACTGAGACAGTATGATCAGCAGGCACCAACTGTTGTTTTCTTCTTCCTTTCCCAAAATGGTCTCCCTTTTGATGGCTACACTATCTGTTAAATGTGATGTACCATCTAAGTGTCTGGATTTGTTTGTTCTTTTCATTCCTCATTTCCCCTTCCCTCCCACAGACATTTCTTCAATTGGGAGTGGGCTGGGTGGGGATTTTTTATTTTTCTAAACTTTGAAGAGAAACTACCTACCTACCTACCTACCTACATAAATAAATAAATAAATAAATAAATGCCAAGCCAACTTTAGTTGGCGTTAAGCCAACTAAAATCACTAAATATAAGCAAGGCAAGCTTTTCATGTTTTCAAAATTACTTAATGTATTTGTCTGAAATATTTCTGTGCTTAGAAACTCTTTCTAAGGCAGCTGAGATATATAAAACAGGAAGAAAACATTAATAAAACCAATATTATAAATAATATGTAACAAAACACCCCTCCAGAATAGGAAAATCAATTCCAGTTCCAAATGAAGGCCCAGGCAGAGCAATTACAAGGGAAAGATTATTCATATAAATGGACCTCTGGCATGTTCATCATGATAAATGGTAAGAAACACCAAAAAAAGAGTTAAAAGAATAATTTGTGTTTCTTCTTGGACGTACTAAGGGGAATATATTTCCACAAGGACCTCTTCCCTCCCTGTATCTTCCATGTGGTGTTTCTCTCAACAGATTAGAATTGGGATACACACTGGACCAGTGTTGGCTGGGGTAGTTGGGGAGAAAATGCCCAGATACTGTTTATTTGGTGACACCGTCAATACAGCTTCTAGGATGGAAAGCCATGGACTGCCGGACAAAATCCATATCAGCTCCACAGCATTCGAGTAAGGGCTTGAAATGAAATACCAAACCCAACAGCCAGGAACTTGACTATGCCAAGCGATTAAATCGCATAATCTGCTTTGCATATTGTGCTAAGCCAAAATATGGTTTGTTTGCTTATGACTTTGTGTGGTGTGTGACCCCAGCTAGCAATAAGTCAGTAACTCCATATGTTGTTGGGTTTCTTGCATTGCACAGAGCACTCCCTCCTCAAGTGTTTGAGACAGTGGAAAGGGGAGCCATAGAGGTGAAAGGCAAAGGGAAAATGACAACCTATTTTCTGAAGCAAAATCTCAGTGCTACTGAGGATGAAATAATGGGACGGGTTGAAGAGACTTCTAGGAATGTTCACAGCAACGGTATGTAATATATACACAGAGATGCCCTTACTATGACTGTCTGCCTCAACCTGGTTTTTAAAATTATACTGAAATTTCAACTACCTGACTTCTTAGTCAGCATGACCAATGGGAACACTGGGAGTGGTAGTCCCAACCTAGTTGGAGGATGCCAGTTTAGGAAAAATGTGTATAACCCCAAGTAATGTCTTTCACTGTAATTCTGAGGCTCTGCTCCCCTGATGTTCTGAAAATCCAGTCCTGTCTCATAAATCTAGCATCCCATGTTGGAGAACTGGGGGCTAACTTACATTGACAGGACTGTGTGTTCACCTAGACATTTCCATCTCAACATTTAACAAACCAAACCAAAAATTAGTAAAATTTTGAAGAAAGTCTGTCAAGTCTCCCTCCCTCCATTCTCTCATCCACCTTAACCTGTTCTGTTCCTTGCCCTTTCCTCTTGCTTCTGCTCCCATTCAGTGTCATTAGAAATACGCAGCACAGAGGTACGAACTAATCCACAAGGCAAACAGTTGTATTTCTTTGTTGAGAGTGGGAAAGGATTGGCAACATTTGACTTGCTAGAAGGCCTCCGTTAATTAAACACATTATGTGTAATCATTACATTTTTTTTTACTTTATTTCTGGAACCATCTAGATAAAATAACCCCTCAGATTTTTTGACAGCATCCTTAGGGCCCTATACTGCTTTGCAGCCAGATGCCAGGTGAGGCAAAGAAGATTTACCTGCCCTGCATTCCAGAAGCCATTTACTGATACCTTAGTATTCCTTCCTGGATTGTTATCTTATAGCGGTGAAGGGACTTGTGCATCTCGTGAGCTATACAGTCTGGTCTAGCAGTCAGGCCACCCATTATTGAGAGGTCCTAGATAAGAAATCAGACTATGTATGGTCCACTGGAGAAGGAAATGGCAACCCCCTTCAGTACTGAAATCTCACAATGTGAGGCAGTTAAATTGATACATTTGGTTTGTAAGCAGGTATGGAAAAGACAGTAGTGGCCAAAGGATTAGAAAAGCTGAGTTCACATCCAGTACCAAAAACTCCAAAAATCAATTATTGACAAACAATCCCAATTAAATGATGTCCATTGTGTTACACAGAGTTGGAATCAACTGAATGCCAAAAAAAAAAAAAAAAAAGTGGAGATAATTACTAATCACCAAAGCTGGGAGGTGCTTATTTATTAGGAATATTTACAGGAATTGTACACTAAATGCTTCTAGAATTACTTACAATGGATAAACTCACAACATCTCTATTGGTTGTTTGAAGGGATGATTCACAAAGGAACATGAAAACCAGCACCTCTGCCTGTTCACTAGAGCCAGCTCTACCATGGGGTAGAATGCAGTAGTTATTTCAGTGAATTGATTCTGAGGCTGTGAAAGGGGAGAGGTTCATGCATTATTCCTGGACCAGGCAAACATCATATGCCCAAATTATTTAACTAACCTTTGGCATTTCAGTCCTTGGCTGGAGGGAAGCATGGGGGAGGTGTTTGCTTTTTCATCCACTACAAGCCTTAAAACGACAATTGGTTTCTGTGCTCCAGCAAGAAAGGGAAAAGCAATCTGAAGCTGCAGAAACAGTAACATGATGTCATCTCTCCTTCACTTGGCAGCAGTTTATCCAACCCTTCCAGGAGTCATTGTTCTGATTCTATCCTTTTCTTGCCCAGCTCTCTTTTTAATGTGATATTTCAAAGTTCATGCCAAGTTCAGGGAACACTGCATGTAATCAATGGGGGTGGGAGAGGGGAGGGGGAAACAGATCTGTGCTCAGTATCTTTTGCACACCCGTGGTGTAATGCTAACATTGACCATGTGGTTGATACTCTCTCCTGAAACAGAGATTTTGGAAAGTCAAGTTGTCAAGAGGGTGATAACAATGAAGTACGTGAACTCTGAGGAGTTGCTTATTGCCAAGGATGAAAAAGATGGAGAAGGTGCCAAAGGTTTGTTTTAACATATACTAATTCACCCAATACATTGGATGCATTTATTAGAAGATATACACATACCTGATTAGTATGTTTAACTTACATATCCTTGCATAACAAGTGGGTTCTTTCAGATAACTGGCTCTTTGCATAATCTGCTCAAAGGCATCGTGGAGCTATTCCAGGTTTTCCTCCTGATTGTTTTTTTCTGGTAAGAATAGACCAGCAGTGGGAAAACAGGAAAAGGTTACAAATGGAATATGATAGCTCCCTGTAAAATTCTGTGAATGAAATGGAGCAAAATCATAATTAGATTATTGGCTGGAAGCACCTTCTATGGCGTTTTCTTTTCTGGAAGAGTTGATAGATGAGACGAGAGAGTGAGAAAAGAAAAAGCTAACATGTCCAGCTCTCCACTGGTTGGTTGTTTTGAGGAATTATGCAAGATCTCTTTTT